TGGGGCCGCGAGGGCCGCGTCTGGGCCTGGGGGAGCCGGTCACTGCTTAGGAGGGAGGCGAAGAATGAGGGAAAGAAAAGAGGACAGAGAGGAGGATGACAAGGACGAGGGGCCCTGAGGCAGGGGACCAGGTGGCAGGCGGGAAGCTCCCCCACACGGAAGGCAGGGCCCGGCCTCCTCTGGGGACGTCCTCCCCGGCCAGGGGCAGACCTGGGGCTGGGACCACTTATATGGATGCAGAGGAAGGCAGAGGGTCCCATATCCTGCCCCCGCTGGGGGATTTAGACAGGACGCGCTCTCCTCTCAGGGCTTTAATAGGATTGGAGCTTTCCCCAAGAGAAGACCAGAGAAAATGTGATTAATCGTGGGCTCTTCGTAAACCTCGAGCGGGGGGCAGGCCGAAGATACGCACACCCATACCTTTACGGAGCCGGACCCGCTGCAGGCGTCGGGCGAGCAGGGGGTGTGTGCTTCCTGCTCTGTCTTCCTGCTCTGTCCCCAGCGAGCCCCTGGCCCAGCAGACGCCTGGCGCGTCGCAGGTGCCTGGCGGTGAAGTGCTTGGCGGTGGAGTCCGCGCGTGGGAATGAGGCTGTCGACGGGGTCTGTGTGCTTGTGTCTGTCTTCGCCTCCGAGTGGTGGCTCCCCGCCGTCAGGGGCCCCAGGCCAGCCCAGCACGGGCCCTGGGCTCCAGCTACTCTGTAAATATCCGTGGAGTTACTGAACCCCGGCCCCCGCCACGGAAGGAAGGGTCTTGCTGGTTCCCAGCGTGGCCCAGATGGGGAGAGGACTCGGGGGTGAGCTCCCTGATGCAGGCCACGGGAGGAGAGCACCCGTCCCTGTCCCAGACCTTCCAGATGGAGCTGAGGCCGGGCCGAGGGCTGGCTTCCCGTCCCCGAGGGAAGATGACCCCAGAGGCGGAGCGCCCACAGGGCCTGGGGGAGATGCAGGGTGTGGGCCCCGCTCCAGGGTAGGCGTCACCTGTGAGGTCAGGACCCTGTGGCGAGGCTTACAGGACCTGGCTCCGGGCTCCGTCTCGGGGGGATGGGGTGAGCCCTGCTCTCAGCCAGAACTTACTAGGCCGGCAGGTCTGGAGGGCATGTGAGGGCTTGCCTGGAGTGGCCTCCTCACTTTCCAGACGAGGCTCACAAAGGGAAAGCCACCCGACACACGGGCTCAGCGGCCACACCTCCACCCCTCGCACACGGCCCCCGCTCCTACGCCGTGTCGTCTTGAGACTTAGAACCCGCTGTCTATAGAAGTGCTTCTCAAACACCAAGGCGGAAGAATCCCGAGAATCTCTTCAGGACGCAGATTCTGATTCGGAGGCACTTGGTGGTACCCAAGACTCTGCATTTCTAACAAGCTCTTCGGTGACACCGATGTTGCCGGCCTGCGGACCCTGCTTTGAGTAGCGAGAGCCCGCGGGGTACCCCGGGAGTTGCTGGGGGTCAGGACGTCAGACACCTCAGCTGCTGAGACCCTCCCTGCCCTCTCCACCCCTACCCCCGCCCCAGAGGTCATCTGGTCTCCTGCTTTTCCTTTCCCAGGGGACAAGGCTCCAGGGGGTCAACTGACAAACCAATGGCCCCTTGGGGGCAGGTGCTCCTGGGGGGCCCGGTCTGGCTGGAGCAGAGGGCACCTCCGGAAATGCCGGTGGATGGTGGTGAGGGGTGCACGCCGCTTGGGGTCTTCCCGCCCAGCCTTCCGCCTCTAAACTGACAGCTGACATTCTGGAGCTTCGCCCTTTCCCGACCTCCGCCGAAACAGAAGGCCCCCACCTGTCTCCCACCCTCCTCCCCCGCCTTGTCCCTTGACAAGTTCCTCCTGTCTAAACTCAAGCGGGTTGGGATCCCTTCCACCTCACCCTAGGAAAATGGGTTGGGAAATGGGGGGGTGGGTGCTGGGGTGAGAGGTCCCAAGGGAAGACTGTTCCGTGGAGGGAGCGGTAGCCTCCTCCAGCTGCCTCC